TAAAACCAGAGTGCATTATCTCTTAGAATCTTCAGAAGCTATTGAGATATTACATAGTTCAGTAGTTAATATCATAGAGAGGTTTAGAAAGTTATTAGATCTTAATATCTGGTCAAGACTTGGCACTGCACTTAATCTGTTATCTTTTCTCAAAGGTTGTCATTTGTAAATGTAGCTAGCTAAGAAGACCTGTGAAAAATATGGCAAACACTGTTTATGAAAAGTAAACTAATAATGTTCACTTCCTTCAAAGCTGACACGTAAAAAGTTGGTTACTGGAATGTTCCTGATATTTTGGAAAGTTAGGGACTAGACTTGGGGAACATTCATTCATTTATCAAATATTTTTCGGCACCCGACTATAATTTATAATAATGGTCCACAAAAGGTGTTTTATAAACACCTGCATTGGAATCACCTGAAGTATTTATCAAAGCAGTTGTTTCCCGGGACCCACCTAAAATCTGGGGGCTCATGATAACTAGTTTGTGGGGCATGACAGTCTGCATGTTAGTAGGTTAAGATACTGGACTTTATGTGGAGAGCAGCAAAAATCCATTGTAAGATTGGAGGAGGGTTGGGGGAAGGTCCAGGGCATGGGACAGTGTCAGATTTTCTGCAATCCAGTAATTTATATTAGAGGATGAAGAAAGGAAAAGCCATTTAGAAAGCTGTTGTATTCCGGGAAAGAGATGATTGTGGATTGGCCCTGGGTAGTGGTACTAAAGATGGAGGGAACTGAAAATATTTAAAAGTTTTTTGTGATCTGTTAGATGCAGGGGTTGATGACGAAGTACAGGATGAAGGCTCAGGGTCTTGGCTGGATACTGGGGATGCAGAATAGAGAAGGAAAGTTTTGTTTGTTTTGTTGCTTGGGGAGTGGATATTTGTTTCGCACGTGTTGAGTTGGAGTCTGTTTAGTTGGAGATATCTAGGTAGCAGACATAGATCTGAAGCTCAGCAGAGGGGCTCAGAGTGGAGATAGTTTGGGCGCTGTCTCATGGTACTTGAAATCACAGGCATGCATAATATGGAAAGAAAGAGATGAGCGTGGAATAGTCATCAAACTTTCATAGAAACTCTAGAACACCAATATTTAAAGGACAGAAAGAAGATAAAAAAAGATTGTAGAAGATACGTAGAAGGAGCAACTACGGATGTCTGCCGAAATGAAGGCTGATTTCCTTCCCTGAGCTAAGCTGTGCTTTGATGCTTTAGAAGAAAATTCAGGGACCACTGCCTCTCCGTCCTTATCAGATGCAGTGATGTGCAGTCAGACATCTGCACCACAGCCGGCTGCACAGTCGGTGTTCTGTGGACTGAGGTGGTGTGGCTCATTTGGTGAGGAGATGAAACCATAGGTTTTGCCCACAGTAAAACCTCATGTAGGGAGTGGGGAGACTGTTCTAGAAAAGAGAGCAGATAAAAGTAGTTTGACTCCATCAACTACCTTCCTAGAGGAGGAGGTTGTGGGAACTTAGTGGGTCTGGTCATAGTTCCCTTGCTTTCCTAAGGACACAGAATGGAATTTCCTATCATCGTCCCCATTCATTTGTATAAACTGCATAACAAACATGATTTCTGAACATGCAGCAATATTTAAAATAAAAATTACAGAGGTTGCATGTTCTTTTCCTCGGTTTCAAGTGTGTAGCCTGTCTTTTTGGGAGAGCCACAGAGAACCTGCATGCTTAAATTAAGAATAGTCGATCTTATCCACTGGTGTTACTCTCATACATTTTCCAGGAGAAATCACTACATGTCGATTGCTGACAGGCATGGGAAAGTCTGAGATCCTCTGGTGAGGATTTTCCCAAGGGTTTCCCACAACACCGGGAGAATGTGGTTTTAAGAATTCCAGTGCAGGAAGAGTCTTGCAAAAGTAGGGAGAGAACAACTGTGTCATACATTATGGGAAAGCCAAGGAAGGGGTTTAAATAAGTCATTAGATTAAGCACAGAAGTGTTTGCTGATTTTGGTAAAAGCAACCAGATTGCAGCGGGGGGAGGCACGTGGGAGGTGAGGAAGTGGAGAAAGAGTGGAGGCGACGTTTTTTAGTAGTGTGGCGGAGAGGAGGCGAGACAGAGGGCAGTTAGCTGTGCAGCATTATAACTATCGGGGAGGCTGTTATTTTTAAAGATCGCATTGAACTTCTCGCTGTTCTCGGAACATGTCATTATCTTTAACGACTCTCTGGCCTTGCACATGTTTCTTCCTGTTCTCGTTATGCTTCCCTCCTCCTTTGCCAACAGAAGATCTTTTATTTATTCGAGGCCAAGCTCACATTTTGTTTTCTCCGATTTCTTTTTAGATTACTCCGAGGAGGCGGTTCCACCGCACAGTCTTCATGCTTTTTTATGACATTGCACACAGGATTATGAAAACCTTCACATGTCTTTCTTCTTTACCACAGGCCGACCTGCTGGAAGGCATGGCTGTGCCTGTTCATTTCAATGCGATTGAGGAGGTGCACGCTCTGTGCCGGTCCAGTTGTCGGGAGCTGACATATATAAGTGTAGCCCTCAAGTTGCTCACGGGGTAGGAGGAGAAAGCTAAGAAAGATTATTCATTTTAGACCGCGTGATCATGCTTTTGTTGTAGTACGTGTGGATTAACATGGTATCAGAGGGGATGTGGGTGGTACGTCTAGAGTTTGGGAAGGTTTCTAAACAGAGAAGATAGCTGGGCAGGACAGGTAAGGGTTGGCCAGCTATAAAACGGAAAAAAGAACGTGTTAGATTGAAAGAGCTTGCAGAGTTCAGTGAAATGAGAAAGTTCAGGATAACTGGAGCCTGGAATACTCTCAGGGATTCCGGGGGAGACGAGGCTGGAAAAGTACTCAGAGCCAGACCACGAAGGGGATCACAGCTAATTGCTCCCCGAAAGCTGTGGAAGTGAGCCAAATAAAACCTTAGCACGTAGTCAGTTATGTTACCACGGGATTTACTGCGTGGCTTTTTTTGTTGCTGTGTGTTGACATTCTTCAAAGTACAGCTATTACACAGAACAAAAGCCTGCTGTGATTAGTTGAATATGGTTACAGAGACACACATGTGCAAACACACACGCAGGCTAACTTCACATCTGTGAATTTAAGGGCTACGATAACACGTGCAGGTAACCGTTTGCCACACGGCATCTGAGAGCTTGCCTTCTGTCTGCCTCTGCTGACGCCTTTCTTCTTATGTCCCGTTAGAGACCTTGTTGCTCAGAATCTTCGTGACTACAGTTAATTTCCAACAGCTCCCCTCCTCCATTCATGGACTAATTATTACGTATTTCCTATGCTCCAAGCAGGTTTTTTTAAATGCTGACGTCACGACATTGAAGAAGGCAATCATAGTCCTTGTTCTCAGTGTGGAGTCACAGTTGTCGAGTTGCAGAAAGCTGGGAGAGAAGAGTGACTATAGCAGAGAGCGTGAGTTTGTGTGGTAAGATGGAGCCTGGCACAGCAGAGGCCCTGCACGCGGCCTCCTTATTGCTGCAGCATGGAGTTGTGTGCGTGTGTGTGTGTGTGTGTGTGTGTGTGTGAGCGAGCCCGTGTGGTGGGGATTGCTCTAGACAAGGCTAGAGAGGCAGGGAGGAAGAGATCGTGCATGTCCTTGGAAGCCGTGAGAGTGTTTGGACTTCATCCCAAGGGCTTTAGAAATTCAACTGACCAAGTTCAGCACCGTTTTATTCTTCAGAGTTCCCTTCCCCACATCATGGCGATGCCTCAGTGCCTCCCATAGCTTGAAGGGTCCTGCCCAGTTCAATTTAAACACGGATCTCTTACGCCATTTAGATGTTCTCTCCTTTCCCCAGCCTGGTTCACAGCTAAGGGGTGTTATCATGGCGACAGGACAGACCTGCTCTTCCTCTCCTCTTTCTGGGTCTTTCAAAGTTGAGGCAAGGGGACGGGAGATTAGGAGAAGCAGCAGATATCTTCTTACATACCTGGTTCTATTGGTGGCTCTCTCCTGGCAATCAGTGGCATTCGTGTGGTTGGTAGGTAAGTGCATGCTCTTTCATGGGGCGTAGTTGTGCTTTCTACCCGGTGAGCTCTTGATTACAGCTACCAAAGACACAGGAGGCTTATTCTCTTGTGGCATCCTACACTGCCCCTGGCACTGCTTTCTGACCCTTTGCTACTGGGTGTCCCTCCTTTGTCTGCCCCCATTTGTTGAGTATGGGGAGAGGGAGAAATACCCTTTGAACGTGATTTATGCCAGCCTAGTTTCCTTGCTGTGCAAACCGTTGTCTAAGAATTTTACACGTATTATCCCAATTCATCCTTAC